GTACAGATTATTCTGAAATCCACCAAATGCTCTGAATGAGCTTCACATCGCTTTTATGGAGTCCAGTTCAGATTTATGGAGTAGAAAAGAAATCCATTTCAAGAGTAATTGGCAAATTAATCCGCATTATTTTCATGACTTGACATTTTGTTTGATTATTTAATAAAATCTCATAGCATTTCACTAGTTTTATCTGAGACAATTCAAGCCTGTCTATATTCACAACCCAATATCTTAAGCTGATTCTGTAAAATTCAGGTATAATTTGCAAAGCCATTAGTGAAATACCAAGGCATGAAGATTTGAAATTGACTTTCCTGATTTACAAGAAGGGAACTGGTTTTTGAAAGAAATTTCACATTCAGGATATCTCTTTTTATTCATACTTGCTACCACAAGTACCTCAAAAAACTGAGTTCACCTTCTAAATATGCGCAAACTTGTTTTTTTTTTCTTTTATTTGGAGGAATCGTGCATTACCGTTTTTATCATGTTCAATATCTCAAAAGACTGCATTATTCTGCAATATTTACTTAGTTTTCATGGATTCAGAAATCTCTTGATCCTTAAGTTTACAGAGGTGAATGCAATATATTTATTTGTTCATTTGTTGATCATGTGGCTAGAATAGCTTTATTAGTCTTTTTATTTTTATTTTTTATCTTTTCTGTGTTATATGAGCTAGAAGTGATTGAAAGGGGACCTGCTCTTTGGAGTAGCCAAATTTGGAGATATAGTGTATGGCATTCAGAACAGCTCGCTTATAAGCCACTGTTGCATCAAGGTAATGCTGCTTGCCGCTTTCATCCACACTGATTCCTTCAAACACCAGCCACTCTGAGAACCTTGGTTCAACAGGGCCAATCTCGAAGATGGGGTTCACATGGAGAGGTGTGGGACCCATTGGAGTGAGGTATTTCTGCATTCCTCCTCTTATAATTTCACATCTATATGACAAAGATTTGTTTAGTGTTGAAAACCCAGGATTTGATAGATTAGAATATACTCATTTTGCACAATCTCTGTCAACAAAAGTAAACGTAAAACAAATTGTCTGAGGTTTCCATTTCAGCTAACCTGTCCTATAATTAAAGAAAAAGGTAAAGAAGCATAGAACTTATAATGACATGGCCTATGCCATAGTTAGCTTGCATACAACATAGTTAGCTTGCATAGTTTGTTGTATGGAACTTGACACGGAGTGAATGTTCTTAAGAGACAATGCTATGTTACTATAGTACCATTTCAGTGATATAGTACATGGCGTTTTAATTGTCCCTTCTAAGATAGCAGATGATAGTGATTGATGACTGCCATGCAGGTGGACCTGGAACTAGCTGCTGGCCATGATAGCACCTTTATTTATGTCTCACCCATCTTGGTTCTCGATGGTTATGATGCTTTGCACAATACCTACAAAATTCTACATAGTATTATACACTACGAGTTTCAGTTCTTAATTGTAAAATTTATGTGTTAGTTGATTTGCAATGGTTGATAGTTGTGAAGTGTATCTAAGGTTAGTTATCCCGGTAATAACTTGTACTTAATGGGTACGTAACCATGTAATTTCTGTGCTTGTGCGTGTGCATGCGTGTTTATATGGTCTTTGTTTGAAGCAGTGTCTGAAAAAACATATTTGGGATGGGAATGGGAATGGGGTTGGGGTATTTGGTGGTTGGGGGATGGATACCTCGACCTGACATCCCACCGTCCATTTCCACAGTTAACCTATTAAAAAAAGGAAAAAAAAAAGAAAAGAAAGAAAAAACAGAAATGGAAGTTGAATTCGTCCCTTGGTAGAGTGATTTTAGTTGGCAATTCTGATCTAGATCTTCGTCCCTCAGTAGAGTGATTCGAATTGGCAATTCTGATCTAGATCACCTGATCCAGGCGATAAAAAAAAGAGTTAACAAATATTTAAGGTGAATATCATTAACAATCACAGTTTTTTTGTTTCCTTTTCGTTTTTCAATTAAAAAAAAGATTTAGCCGACCCCAATTAGTTTGGAAAAGGTTATGACGATGATGAATTAAAAAACAGATTTAAATAAGTCAAAACTAAAAATAACATATTTACATTTAAAAGTAGAAAATATCGTTTATGATTATTCCAATGATCTTCAATAAAAAAAAGCCCAAAAATTTTCTTTTAGGGAATATAGAGATATGATGGCAGATTGTTAAGAGTTGTTTTTCTTCACAAAATCTGTCAAAAAAATGGCTGATTAATCCTCGCAAAGCTCCACCCAGAAAATGGTGGATTTCAATCAAACAAATTTGGAAAATAATTCAGTTTTTTGTCTTCTGATTTCCTCTGATGGAGCATAGATCCAAAGAAATATGATGTAATTCTTATAGAGTTATAAAAAATGATAAGAAAAATTTTCTCTTCAGGCAAAATAGATAAAAAACATCAGAGAATATAAGAAAATGGCTTAAGGGTGAGAAAAATGCCGAAAACCCCAAATTCTTAGATATTTCTGGTTTTGATTTGAAATTTTTTATTACGGTTATGGAATATCAATGATAGAAGGAATATTTTGGAACAAATTAGACACAATTTGGTGAAAAAATGAGACCAATAAAATATTTTTTATTTCGATTTATAAAGCTAGAAAATGGTACAAGGGTAATGTCTAATTTGCCCAATTTAAATTGGTGATATCTCTGACAAAAATGCGCATATCTTTGACAGAGCGGCCGATTCAAATAGGACTGGGCTAGTGCTTGATTCTCCAAGGGACTTGGTGTTCCCTGCTGATCCTATCAGGCGATTCTGATGCAGATCGAAGATTATTAAAATGCTAGTTTTGAAATGATCATTTGTTTAGAGCAGTATTTTGAAAAGCCAATCAATGGGCTGGATCGTCGTCCCCCCAATCCAGTGATCGGCCGGATCGGCGATCTAGCAAAATTGAAAAAAGAAACAAAAATAATAGAAGCCCATTACATACCATATGATATGCAAACTACTTTTTAAAAGATATTTTATTCGGTGGACATCATCGTCATCATGAGCTTGGAGGATCGATTCCTCTTTCCTTGTCTCTTTTTTTTGGTTTAAAAAATAAAACCAAATAAATATACTATATATGGTATAAGAATATATAATATTTTAAAATTTCTAATGGACACAATGTGCATGGTGGGAAACATAAGGAAGGGGTGGGCTACTGAAAAGGCTACTTTTTGGTTATTTTAAGAATTGCATATTATATTTTAAAATAAGTAAACCACTGATTTAGACCAAGAACTGACACGTTTATTAAGTGATTCACAATCCAGATCGAGCGATTTTTAAAACGCTAGTTTAGAGAAAGGTTGAATCTTATGACCTCCAATATATCTATATCAGCAAAAGTCAACGTATTAATATTTGTATATCTATATATCAGCATGGAATAGAGAAACAAAAAATATGTAGACAACAAAGAGAAAGCAAGTGAATTCTAGTAGTAGAGATAGAGGATGTACTTTAGCTCTAGAAATCCGCTCATTTCAATGGCCCCACAGAATGAAACTTCACCATCACCCTGAGAAAAATGCATGTCCCCTGTGCTAAAATTTCCTCCATCGACAAACACGGGAAGATATACCTTTGAACCTCTGCTGAGATTCTTGATATCACAGTTTCCTCCATTTTCCCTGCCTGGTATTGTCCTGGCTGCCTCAGTAGCGATCTTCTCCCAATCCGGTGTTCTCTCTTCTATCTACATATTGCATTTAGAATTGCGTTAAATACTTGGTGTTTGTAAACCAATCATTGTCCACAATCTAGAGGAGAAAGTTCACTGAACTTTATAATTGCTAGTTAGTGATGCATTTCCACCTTAATTTTATAATGAAAGTCTTTGGAATTTGGAACGTTGAGCATCTAAATTCAGGTATCATCAGACATAAGTTCTGAATGAAACATCTAAGCAAAGTTTGCTGAAATAAGTTAAAAATGGATAGGTGTCTGTCGGTTGTACCTTCCCAAGAAGGCAGCCCTTAGCTGTAGGCAAGTTTGCTAGTGGCCTTGTGTGCAGAATATCACACAGCTTGAAAGACTCGTGGCCATTTACTTCCAAGTCTTTTTCTCTTTCATTCCATATATTAAGAAGTTCATGTGATGGTGCTGTTCCAATGATTCCAGGGTGGGTTAAACCTGGAAATCTCACACCTGCTAGGCATATTGTTACCATGTAAGATTGAGCATCAATTCATGAAACTTGGCCTAGCGGAAAAAGTTGAACTTGTTCACACATGAAGCTTGAATACACATGTATACAGTGACATACACATGCATACATACATGCATGTATGAATATGTACATACATGCTTGCATGCATGATGTGTGTTCTACCAAAAGGAAGCATGATGAATACGCACCTGGTATATGGGGGGAATATGCGTAAATTCCTTCAAAATACCAAATGGCTTTGGTTGCACAGGGAAAATGATCTGTCAAGAATCCTCCACCATTTTCTCTGTCAAATGTTGCTGTATATCCCCATTCATCTCCAGGGAGAGGACCCAAATTGCAGATTTCGATGGCCAGAAGATCACCTGGTTTGGCAGGAATCCCTCTTGTGTCTAAAACTCTCAATGGACCACTCAGATAGTGCACCTAGAGTAGCATGAGAGTGCCCTCATGTGGTTAAGCATGCATAGATCATTCACATGCATATGCATGCCTTTCTACAACATATGCATGATAACAGGAATACGATTGCAAAGCTTGAATTTGCTGGAAGCATATCTCACTATCATAATCGCATTAATGAGCATCTATAATGGGAGGCATTTGAACCCTAGGTTCTATGTTCCCATTAATAATGGACTCTGTATCTTTAAATTCATTTTGTTGGATCAGAAATCCGATTTTAAATTCTATGCATGCATGCAGATGTAGATGTATCTATGAATATGTGTATCTGTATGTGGGAGTATATGCTGTCAAAAGTTTGAATATGGTGTTTCCTGATTGTTGTGGACTTGTGGCAGTAATTTTGCTATAGCTCAATGAAAAAGAACAATTTTGCTGTATTTAACAGAGTAAGTGATTGATTAGATGCACATGATCTCTTGGGTGTTTGGTCATATCGATTCTTGACAGCTAATTTAGAAACCTAAAATTTGTTCAGGCATGTATGGTTTGAGTCACCTGATCACCTGGTCCCATCCTCCCATTAAGTATCGAAAGTAATTGCATGCATCTGATCCCTTGTTTCTATACTCTTATATTGACTATCTATGCCAATTCAAAAATTCAATTTGTTCGAGGGGTTTCTTACAGTTGAAAGATCAATGGATTTTATGTCAAGCGCAGTGTCATTGTCTGCTATGTGACCGCCAGTCCAGTCCACCATCTCGACTCTGAAAAGCTCTCCTTCTCTAACCTCTTCAACTGGAGGTATGAGAGGGTGCCATCGATTGTGAAGGGGCACTTTCTGCTCCCATGGCTTTCTCTTAGGGTCCACTGGAACTACCAGTCTTGGGGTCCGAGGAGCCATGCTAAATAATCAATTTCAACTTTCAAGTACTCAATGCCCTTCACTTTGTCTTAGTTCAAAGGCTTCAGTTATTGAAGATGGGTTCTAGAAAAAAGGATGCTCTACACTTTTGAGTGCAATTCCTGGAAGATGGGTTCTAAGGAGGACCTACGTTTAGTCTAAGAGAGGGTCATTCATTTGTGGAAGATGGTTCTTCAAGGAAGATATCCATGTATGGGGTTTTCCTTACAAATGCATGGGGCCCTTCACTTTGTCTTAGTGTTGGCCTTTCATTCACAGAAGATGGGTTATTGGGACAAGGTATGTATGGTTAAGATTCTTTATATATCTGATACATGGAGTAATGGACATGGGGTAGCTTCTTCTTCCCCATAGCCATGTCATAGCTTTTTGTTGGTCCTGAATGTTGACAATGGCAGTAGTGGACAGAATCTGATTGGGATATCATGATTGTCTTATTCTCCTTGGTACCCCACATTGATTGATGGTGATTTTAATACGAATAGTGAATGATTGGAGCTATTTATGAATTGATAATTATAATAGGAATAAATTATGGATTGCTGAAAATGAAGTACAAGAAGCTTTCAGCCAAATTTTTGGCAATTATTGGAGCTGTTGAGAGAGAGAGAAAACCAGCAAGCGACAGTGAACAAACTCCAATTCAATTATTTAGGTGGGTTGGTCATGGGTGACGCCAACCAAGTACAAACCTGTTAGGTGGTGTGAGTTAGTTCATCTTATAAGGGTAAGGGATAAGGCAAGGTGTACTTTAATAAAGTAGAATAACAAACTATGATTAATGTAGCTGACCCAAGTTAATTAGAAAAAAAACTATGATTATGATGAGACCATTTGAGAGCATTATTATCATCTATATTTGTTTTTTTATATTGTCGTTTTTCTTCCCCTTTCTTTTTTAATTTTCACGTAAATATATTTTATTCTCCCGCAACGCACTTCCAGGAACCCATCTATTGCTATAGAAGAAATTTTCTAATCTCTTTATTCTTTAAGTGCACTGCACGTGGGACACTGAGAATGGTGAATTACTAAGTTAGCCGTTCGTTTTACTTCTTCCCTTAAAACTGAATTAAGCAAACTGAAGTGCTTCCTTTAAAGGCCCAATTTATAGGCTGCCTCTTAAAAAACGATAATGTTTATCAAAATAAGTAGAGCCTCACCTCAAAACTTATAAAAATTTACATTACTCGTATTGGAAAGCTTTCAAGTCAATCATGTCGGTCTTGAACTTGTGGTTGTGAAAAAAAAAAAAGATTTTAAGCCCTAAAAGATATGTATATCTATTTTGCATTAAAAATGATTTATAAGATCTGTACCATTTCTAAGCTTCAAATTTGTAATGAAAATTGATTTTAGAGCTATAGAGATGTCTGATAACCAAAGCACTTTTCGGATGAGGATTTGAACTGAGGCTTTTACTTTGTTTTCATAAAGCCTAGACTTTATTGAAACTGCATCTTTCATTATTATTATTATTTTTAATTTTTTAATTTTTTGTCTTTAACTTTGTTTTCATAAAGCCTAGACTTTATTGAAACTGCATCTTTCATTATTATTATTATTATTATTATTTTTAATTTTTTAATTTTTTGTTTTTTCTTTCTTAGGTTGGTTTATGTGACCTTTGGGCACTGGTGTACCCTAACCCGTAATGAGTTTTTCATTTTTTTTTTTCTTTTTTTTGAATATTTGGATTTTTTGCACTGATTTATTTGTTTATTTTTTGAATGGTACATTTGATGTGTTCAATGAAATATAGCATTTTGAAGGGACATGGGAGATCACACCATGCGTGTATTCTCAACTTTGAAGCAACCCCAAAAGACACGGATAACTCCCAGAATACATAAAGCAGCCGTTTATGGCCATAATAGAGAGAGATGAACTAACTGAGAGCAAATACCAAAATTGAGAGAGAGAGCAAAAGTAAACATGATCACAGCTGCCAAAATACTTGACTAACCCTTTCATGCTTGAAATTGCACCTTATGTTGTGGAGAGAGAGAGAGAGAGAGAGAGAGAGAGAGAGAGAGAGAGAGAGAGAGAGAGAGAGAGAGAGAGAGAGAGACGAGACGACGTACGTACGTACGTACTACGTACTACGTACGTACGTACGTACGTACGTACGTACGTACGTACGTACGTACGTACCGTACTACCGT